GGCACCAAGGAGTCTGTTATAAAGAAATTGGGGAGGGCCATTGCCTAGCAGAGGGTGCACACAGCAGATGGGGCACGTCTAGCACCAAGGATTTGTCCCAACCATCCTGTGGTGTTGGGTCCTCGTTTTGAAGAGACGGTCCCCGCATTTTCCTCCCTTCCTCCTTCCTTCCTTCCTTCCTTCCTTCCTCTTCGTCCCTCCTCCTCCTCCTTCTCATCCTCCTCCTCCTCCTCCTCCTCCTCCTCCTCCTCCTCCTCCTCCTCCTCCTCTTCCTCCCGTTCCCCTCTCAATTCGTGGCCCCATAGAAAGCTCCACCGGATGCTCCAGTGGGACCGCCCGCATGCGTCATCCACCACCCAGCACAGCGCTTCGTGGCCCCATAGAGAGCTCCACCAGAGGTTCCAGTGGGACCGCGCATGCGTCATCCACTACCCAGCACAGCGCTTCGTGGCCCCATAGGGAGCTCCACCGATGGCCCCACTGGGACCGCCCGCATGCGTCATCCACCACCCAGCATAGAATTTCGTGGCTCCATACGGAGTTCCACCGAAGGCTCCAGTGGGACCGCTCGCATGCGTCATCCACCGCTCAATACAGCGCTTCGTGGCCCCATAGAGGGCTCCACCGAAGGCCCCAGAGGGACCGCCCGCAGGCGCCATCCACCACCCAGTACAGCGTTTCGTGGCCCCGTAGGGGGCTCCACCGAAGGCTCCAGTGTGACCGCCCGCGTGCGCCATCCAACATCCAGTACAGCGCCTCGTGGCCCCATAGGGAGCTCCACCGGAAGCCCGAATGGGCCAAAATGGGACCGCCCACAAGCCTCATCCACCACCCAGCACAGCACTTCGTGACCCCATAGGGAGCTCCACAGAAAGCCCCAGTGGGACCCCGCCCGAATGCGCCATCCACCACCCAGTACAGCGCTTCGTGGCCCCATAGGGAGCTCCACCGACGGCCCCAATTGGACCACGCCCGCAGGCGTCACCTACCGTTCAGTACAGCGCTTCGCGGCCCCATGGACAGCTCCACCGAAGGCACCAGTGGGACCGCCCGCACGCGTCATCCACCACCCAGTACAGCGTTTCGTGGCCCCATGGGGGGCTCCACCGAAGGCCCCACTGGGACCGCCCGCATGCGTCATCCACCACCCAGTACAGCGTTTCGTGTCCCCACATGGAGCTCCACCTAAAGTCTCCGTGGCGGACTCGCATGGCGTCCCACTGGCGGAGTTCGCATGGCGGCGACTTTCGATGTCCGAAGCTTGTTCGTCGTATTCGACGTATTGAGGCCGCTTTCGGACCGCGCATGCCGGGCGGGAGCCAGCCTGCTCGCTCTCCCTGCTCCGCGCAGCGGACGACCCGCGCGCGTCGCTGGGACCCCTTCGGGGCGACCAGCGCGCGTCGCAGGGACTTTGTGCGGCGCCGCGCCCGCAGCCTTGGACGTGGGCGCGCACGGGCAAAGAGGGAGAAGAACAACGGGAAGGAAGCGGGCGCGATCTTCGTGAGAGGCGCGCCGACAGGGGCGTCGACATTTATGCACGTAGACTCACGCGCGCGCAGACTCCTCCACAATCAGACTCGCTCGCTCTCAGTCTCTCGCACACCTACCGTTTTCGCTCGCGTTGTGTGCCCCGCCACGCATGTCGGCACGCCCCTCACACGGTTCGTGGCCCCATAGGGAGCGCGAGCGAAGATGATATTCATAATTGCGGTACTCACAGCAGCATATGGTTGGGTCCTTCGCCAGGCTAATGTTTTAATCATGTTGGGGAGGGGTCTTGCGTAGCAGAAGGTGCCGCACAACAGATGGTGCACGTCTAACATCAAGGGCTTTCTATCAGCTTGGGGAAGGGTCCTGCCTAGCAGAGGGCGCCGCACAGCAGATGGGGCGCGTCTAACACCAAGGGTTCTTTTTTGTATCAACTTGGGGAGGGATCCTCCAGGAGGGGTCTTGCCCACCTGGGGGTGTTGCACAGCAGATGGGGCATGTCTAGCACCAAAGATTATGTTTTAAACACCCTGGGGAAGGGTCTTGTCTAGCACAGGGCGTCGCACAGCAGATGGGGCACGTGTTGTGTTGGACACGGAAAGCGTAGAGAGTAAAATCGCACTTCCAAATTACAATTGGGAGGGGAGCGTGTTGACTACTGGGCCTGGTGAACAGAAGAAGCATCTTCACAAGGAAAAGCGTCATCACCCAGAATAGCGTCTTCAACGGGCATGGCGTCCTGAATCGAGTTTTCACAAGGAATAGCGTCTTCACAGGGAATAGCGTCTTCATAAGGAATAGCGTTTTCACACGGAATAGAATCTTCACAACAAATTGCGTCTTCACCGGAAATAGCGTCTTCAGCTGGAATAGCGTCTTCACACAGAATAGCGTCTTCACCGGGAAAAGCGTCTTCACAGGGAATAGCGTCTTCACCCAGAATAGCGTCTTCACAGGGAATAGCGTCTTGACCGGAATTAGCGTCTTCACCGGGAATAGCGTCTTCACAGGGAATAGCGTAGGAATAGCGTCTTCACTGGGAAGAGCGTCTTCATGAGGAATAGCGTCTTCACCGGGATTAGCGTCTTCGCCCGGAATAGCGTCTTCACCCAGAATAGCGTCTTCACTGGGAATAGTCTTCACAGGGAATAGCGTTTTCACCAGGAATAGCGTCTTCACAAGGAACAGCGTCTTGAAAGGGAATAGCGTCTTCACAGAGAATGGCGTCTTCACAGGGAATAGCGTCTTCACCCAGAATAGCGTCTTCACAAAGAAAAGGGTCTTCACCCGGAATAGCGTCTTCACCCCGAATCGCGTGTTCACTGGGAATAGAGTCCTCACCTGGAATAGCGTTTTCGCCGGGAATAGCGTCTTCACAAGGAACAGCGTCTTCACAGGGAATAGTGTCTTCACAGGAAATAGCGTTTTCACATGGAATAGCGTCTTCATACAGAATAGCGCCTACACCCGGAATAGCGTCTTCACAAGAAATCACGTCTTCACCCGGAATAGCGTTTTCACAGGGAATAGCGTCTTCACAGGGGAAGTGCTGTTTGTGTCCGCAGAACGGGTCTTCACAGGGAATAGGGTCCTCACCGGGAATAGCGTCTGCACCGGGAATCGCGTCTTCACTCTGACTAGCGTCATCACTGGGAATAGCGTCTTCACAGGGAATAGCGTCTTCACATGGAATAGCGTCTTGACAAGGAATAGCGTCTTCACAGCGATGCGTCTTCACATGGAATAGCGTTTTCAAATAGAGTCTTGGGCGCCGGCTCGAACGGGGAACCCGGTTACCTCGGCAATGCATATATATATATATATACATACATATACATATACATATACATATACATTTATATATGTATATATATACAGATACATATGGAGATGCGTGTACATGTCCATATACATTTACATAAACACATACAAATACATATGTATACACATACGTATACATATACATATGCATATGCATGTGCAGTTACATGTACATGCACATGTAGATATGCACACACAAATACATATACATACATCTGCCCATGCACATTTACATGTACGTATACAAACACATGTACATACACAGACACACATATGTATACGTATACATGCGCATGCACATGTACATATACATATGCCTATACATGTGAATGTACATATATATACCCATATATATAAATGCATGCATACACATACACATATAAGTATACATGTGCATATGAACATATATATATATATATGTATGCATTCATCCGTATATATAGATAAGCATAAACACGTACATGTACATAAATATGTGTATATATACATATACATGTGCATATGGGTATACAAGTACGTATAGAAATACATACACATATGCATGGATGTGTACATGTATATACGCATACCTGCACATATACATACACAATGATCCCCAAGGTGGTGGTTGTGAAAAAATCCCCGGCTCGAACGTCCACCCTGTTCCTTCCGCTCATAATCTCGCCCTGCTGGATCGGAAGTAAAGTTTTCTTCTGGCCAGCCGCTCGGTCACACAGCGCGGCTGTGATCCTCTGCCGCAGTCTATGTGTCCTGCTTCTTCCTTCTCCAACATCGGCGGCGCGCCTGGGGGGGAAGTGAGAAGGCGCAGGCCTCCTCAGATAGCGGCGGGGCTTTTCAGCAGCCTTCCGGCCTTCTGAGAAGTGTTCTGCGCCTTCGGGGAAGGCGTCGAAAACTTCTCAGAAGGCCCGAAGCCTTCCCAGCCTTCCGAGAAGTTTGCTGCGCCTTCGGGGAAGGCGTAGAAAACTTCAGAACGGGCCCGAAGCCTTCCGAGCCTTCTGAGAAGGCCCGCCCCCTCCCGCTTCCCCCCCTCTGCTCGCCGCCGACAACAGGCCCCCGCCGCCAGCACCGTGCTGCAGTGTGTGCTGCCCCTCCCCTTGCCCCTCCCCGCCCCGTGCGCTCGCGGCCTCCTCGCGCCGGGCCCCGGGCCCTGCCGCCCGGGCTCTCGAGAAGGCCCCGCTGCGCCACTCTACCACCACTGGAGTCCTCTGGCTCCTCCCGTGCCCTGCGGCTAACCTTGTGGATGCCACGACAATGGACACCCTAACAGTCCTATCATCGAATTAAAAAGTGCTAAAATTGTCGGGAAAACGTCCTGGAAATGTTTAACACATGTTTCTTGTACATGCTCAAAACAGCTTTAACACATGTTAAAAACATCTGGAAATTATTTGGCAACGTGCTTCCTCTCCATTGATCGTCCTCCACAAGACTAACCTCGATGCGCCCCCGAGCCAACCCCGACCCAACCACCCCCAACCCATCCGCCCACAGCCACCCACCGACTGCGGTCAACCCGTATCACAAGGATGCGCGGTAAGGATGCAAAGGCATTGGAGGGCCACGTTAGCGCTTCTCGAACGAGGTAGGCCAGAGTGAGTCGCCGAGGATGTGTCGAAGGGGCAAGGAGGCAAGGGCATCCTTGGGAAGGTTGCCTCCCGTACTATGCGGGTTAACTGCCAAGCTCCTGGCGCCTTTGCTGCGGAGGTACACGCACAGCTTCTTGTGGCCATAGAACGCCGCCACCATCAGCGGGGTCCAGCCCTGTCGGCGGGGAGGGCACGACCAAAGGTCAGAACTGGAAAACACACACGCACATGAATTCGCATGATTGTATGCGGAACCCCCTCGTAAATACTGAACAACCTGTCGAGCGGCTTTCGCTCAAAAAGAGAGATGCCGCTATGTTTTGAAGGACACGGCGAACAGTTAATGAACATCAACAGGCTCTGGAGACGGCAAACCCAAGGCAAAGGCCAAACGAATAATAGACGAGACGACAGGAAAAAAAAAGGCAAGCATCACACGCTGAGGCCACCAGAAACCAACAGAAGCCATCCGAGACAAAGCGGGGACTGGCGTGCGCCTGGAGTCGGGGCGAGGACTGGTGGCGACAAACCATTGTCAGCAATGGCTCCGTGGGCCAGCATGCAGCCGCGTCGCCCCAAGGACACAGTGAGTGTGGGAGGCCAGTATGCACCAAGGAACATCAGAGCGCTCTGAAACAAAAGACCAGCGCTGGCCTTGGAGTCCCGCGAGTCCACCTGTGGATGGCACAGTGCAGGCTGGAGAAGCATCTCGACGTGGCAGAGGGGCTGCGATGGGAGAGAGGCCAGGAGCAAAATCCGAGAGAATCACGACCTGTGGTACCAACCGCCCGCATCCGCTCTTCAACTGGAACGCTCCGTGTCACAAAATCTGTCCGTGCCTCCAACGCATTCCCCTGCTCCTTCTCTGCTACTCCTTCTCTGGCTCCTCATCCCCCTGTGTCTGGCCTCTCTGCCAGCCTCGAGAGATACGATGATTGAAACAAACTGTCTCGACAAGCATGCCCTCGGCAGACTCCACAGCAGTGCTCTCGGGCATGAAAGCAGCACTCGGCCAAGCCACCCACACTCACATCCCTCCACCTCCGAGGTCCAACGGAATGAAAACTCTGTCATGGGACGCAGACAACAGAAGAGAGTGTGCTTATGCTCCTGCTCGGCCGACGCACACATAGTATAACTAGGCTTGGGCAATGTCGATTCAACATCGTGAAAGAAAAAACACGATCAGAGCTCCCGACCGAATCTGTGTGCGCGATCTCGCGAGCTGGGCCGACCCGCGAGGGCCACCTTGGCCCGAAGCGGGACGGGAGAAACCTGTCGCGATTTCTGTTCACGACGCCCGGACGTCAGGGAGGCGAGGGCCTCCGGAGGTGCCCCGGGGTCCCCAGAAGCCTCTACCGGCAGGCAGGCAGCCAGCACAACACGTCCGAAAACCCCGATCCTGCTTCGAGCTCCGGGGCCCCCCACCCCGGATCCGAGGGCCGCGTGGCGGAGGCAGCGTCGCTGCTTCGAGCGAAAGGCCCGGCGCCGCCACGCGGGGGAGCGCCGCGCGGCATGGCAGGCTCTGTGGTGACGGTGGGCCGTCGGCAGCGTGGCCACGAGGGCGGCAGGCCCGAGGTTACCTCAGATGTGGCACTTTGGCTCGTGCCGATGCATTCGGCCCATCATGGACAAGACTAGCACCGTCATCATCGTCATCATCAGGATGGCAGGATGGCAGGACGAACCCTTCTTCGAGCCAGTGCGGCTGCAGGGCGGTCCGGCCTGCCATCCTCCTACCCTCCATTCCCGTGCATGTCCCACGGCAATGTCTCTCTCCCCCTGCCCGATGACCATCATCTTACTTGCCATCGCCAATGCGGTCATGATCGCAATCATCAGCAGTATCGCCACCTCACTCGGCTGCATGATCCGAATGTGCTTTCTTTCGCCCACGGAGCACTCGGCACTTTCGTCTTATATTCCGCCCGTCTCTTCCTCCCTCCTAGCCTTTTGCATTGTTCTCGTTCTCCGCTTCCATATATTCCCCCTGATGCTCTACCCATATCGCCATCCCCCTCGCCATCGGCATCGTTGGAGTCCGCGTCCTCCCCCTCTCCTCCGCGTCATCATGTTTCGACACCTTCCCTGTCCCTCTCCTCCCCCTCCTGTTCCTCTCCCCCATTCCCCTCTCTGCTGCTCCTCTATCGTGCTCCTCCTCCATCCTTCTTCCTTATAGATAACTCCTCCGAGTCGCACACCGAGGCCAGTCGAAAGGGCGGGCCGTGCGCTTCTCCTGAGACTTCCTCACCATTTATGATCCTGAAGCCTAATATTAGTAACAGCTTCAGAAATAGAGGTCGGGCGGTTTTCTAAATGTGAATGTCGCCTTAGCGCCGCGCACGTTCGTGAAACAAATAGCAAGAGCTTCACAAATTAAGGGCGGGTGGTTTTCAAAATGTGGTTTTCGCCTGAGCGCCGCGCACATACGTGTTCGATTGCCACGGATTCAATTCGGGCGGTTTTCAAAATATGGCTCTGGCCTCATCGCCGCGCACACTCGTGCTAAAAAGTGCAAGAATTTCACGGAGTGAAGGCGGGTGGTTTTCAAAATGTGGTTCTCGCCTCAGCGCCGCGCAGACTCGTGTTAAAATTATCCCAGTGCGACCCTACCTAGGAGTTGGAGCCTCTAGGAAAGCAGCATTAGTAGGAGCGGTAAACGCCGTCCTCCTCCTTCTCCTCATCGTCGCAGTTGTAGCAGTAGCGGTAGTAGTAGTAGTAGTAGTAGTAGTAGTAGTAGTAGTAGTAGTAGTAGTAGTAGTAGTAGTAGTAGTAGTAGTAGTAGTAGTAGTAGTAGTAGTAGTAGTAGTAGTAGTAGTAGTAGTAGTAGTAGTAGGTAGGTAGGTAGGTAGGTAGGTAGGTAGGTAGGTAGGTAGGTAGGTAGGTAGGTAGGTAGGTAGGTAGGTAGGTAGGTGGTAGGTAGGTAGGTAGGTAGGTAGGTAGTAGTAGTAGTAGTAGTAGTAGTAGTAGTAGTAGTAGTAGTAGTAGTAGTAGTAGTGGTAGTAGCGCCAGAACCGCCGACGCCACGCCGTAAGTGAAGCAGCAGCAGAAGCCCGCAGCAAGTCGCTATGCTATGCTATGATATGCTATGCTATGCTATGCTATGCTATGCTGCGCAATTCTATGCTGGGCTGGGCTAGGCTAGGCTATGCTATGCTATGCTATGCTGCGCTATGCTATGCTGCGTATGCTATGCTATGCTATGCTTTTGCTTTGCCTTCGCTGTTGCCTTCACTTTTGCCTTTGCTTTTGCTTTTGCTTGGCACCCAGGGAGCGCAAGGGGGGGAACCGCGCGTTTGCTTTTACCTTTGCTGTTGCTTTTGCTTGGCTCCCAAGGGACTGGGGGAACCGCCCGGGGCGGTTTGCACTGCCCGGCCCCTTTAAGCCAAGCGAGTAAGAACCCTTCTAGGCAGAGCCTAGGTAGGGAAAAATACGATGGGGATTACGCCAACCCGCCGACCCCTAAGGGGGGGAGAAGTGGTGCGTCGCTGGGTGTGTTTTGGGGGGCTTCTGTGCTGCGCTGTGCTGCGCTGTGCTGTAATATGCTGTGCTGCGCTGTGCTGTGCTACGCTCTGCTATGCTATGCTGTGCTCTGCTATGCTAAAGCTCAGCGAAGCTAAGATGAAGGTAAGCTAAGCTAAGATAAAACTGAGGTAAGATGAAGCTAAGCTAAGGTATGATGAAATAAGTTAAGCTAAGATGAGATAAGCAACGCGAAGCTAAGGGAACGTCACTGGGGGAACCGCGGGGCGGATGCCGGGGGAACCGCCCGGGGCGAGCCCCACTGCCCGGCCTTTTAAGCTTAGCTATGCTATGCTAAGCTGCGCTATGCGATGTTATGCTATGTTATGCTATGCTGCGCTATGCTATGCTATGCTTGGCTATGCTATGCTATGTTATGTTATGAGAATGCAGCGCTGCGCTATGCAACATCTATATGAAGCTAAGTTAAGCTAAGATGAAGCTAAGCTAAGATGAAATAAGCTAAGCTAAGATGAGATAAGCAACGCTAAGCTAAGGGGACGTAACTGGGGGAACCGCGGGGCGGATACTGGGGGAACCGCCCGGGGCGAGTTGCACTGCCCGGCCCTTTAAGCATACCGAGTAAGAACCCTTCTAGGCAGAGCCTAGGTAGGGAAAAACTGCATTAGCTTCACGGATTGTAGGCGGGTGATTTTCAAAATGTGGCTCTCGCCTTGGCGCCGCGAACATTCGTGTTCATTAAAATGCAAGAGCTTCACGGATTGAGGGCGGTCCGTTTCTCTTGTGGCTCTCACCTTAGCGCCGCGCATACTCTTTGTAAGAATTCGCAAGAGTTTCACTGATTCCCCTGGCTAGCGCACAAAAAATCGCGTTCTGGAACAATTCAAGATTGTCAGGGCGTAACAGTTACGCTGATTCTCAGCGTTGAAGTCCCAGGAATGGTGTTCTGGCACGATTCAGGACCGCCAAGACGTACCAGCCAGGTTAACTCGTGGCGTTGACGTCATGGGAATAATGTTCTGTTATGCTTTAAGATTTTCACACGGCGGGGCAATTCCCTCAGTGGAAATGAACCCTTGTAGGGGCCTATGAAGAGGGAGCTTAAAGGGACGGTGTATTCCAAGCATCGTTGATGAGTCTTGGGTTTACACTGGTCCTCAGCCTCCTCCTCATTATCATCCCAGTCTTCTGAAAGAGAAAGGGAAAGAGAGAAATCAAGAAAGAGACAAGTCAAAAATGAGAGACGACGGCGACGAAAGCGAGAGAAACGGAGAGAGAAAGACAGAGGTAGAGAGAGAAAGAGAGAACAAAAAATAGGAAGCATCCTTCGCTTTGCCCTCCTCGACTATTAACTCGCAGATGTCTTGCTTCCCGGAGGTGGCCGCGGAGTGCAGCAACGTGTTGCCTCCGCGACGAGTTCCCGTTCTCCTCGTGGTCGTCATCGCCGTCCACTCATATCCTCCTCTCCCCTCTCCCTACTCCTACTCCTCCTCCCCTCCTCCTCCTCCTCCTCCTCCTCCTCCTCCTCCTCCTCCTCCTCCTCTTCCTGTCCCTCCTCCTCCTCCTCCCCTTCCTCCTCCTCCTCCTCCTCCTCCTCCTCCTCCTCCTCCTCCTCCTCCTCCTCCTCTTCCTCCTCCTATTCCTCCTCCACCTCCTCCTCCCCCTCCTCCTCGATCCCAATTTCGGCGGGTTTTGTCCAACGTAGCCTTAAGCAGCCCACAGTCGTTCCCGGAGGGCCTCTGATACACAGCTCGATGGGAAGTTCGGAAATGGCAACACAGGGATCAACAATATCATCTGAATCTTAGCTTGTCTGAAAGATTACTGGATTCGTCCTCAAAAGAGGTTTCGGTACTGCTTCACGGCGGCGCCAAGGCATCCCAACCGTGCTCCTTCACATTCCAATATGATAGAGGGGGGCCGGCGGCAGAGGGCCAAGCCCTTACAGATCCAGCCGCTCCCGCCCTGCGGGTTGGGCCGTGCGAGACCTCTCTGACAAAGTGTTCGGCTCTATCTTTCCCCTTCCTTCGCCAGTGGCTGGTCAAAGCCCTCCTGAAAGTCCCTCCGAGGGGGCCCCACTCTGCCGGCGGACCCCCCCTCCCTGAACAGTTCCGGCGCCCGGGGGCGATTCAAGAGCGCCCTAAAACGGGCCAAGAGAGCCCCAAGACGGCCCAAGCGAGCCTCCAGACGGTTCCAGATCGCTCCAAGACGCCTAAGATGGCCTCCAGACGGCCCAAGACGCCTCCAAGACGGCCCAAGAGGGCTCCAAGAGCACCCCCAAGACAGCCCCGAGAAGCAAAAATCATGGATTTTTCAATGGTTTTTGAAGGATTTACACGTTCACGCCATTTCGGCTCACCCACGCTCCACGACGGCCCAAGAGGCCCCCCAGATCGCCCCAGGACGGCCCAACAGGCCCCCAAGACGACCCCAAGACGGCCCAAGAGGGCCCCAAGACCGGAACGGCCCAAGAGGGTCCCAGGATGGCCCCAAGAGGAGGCCCAGAAGGGGTACCCGAATGAACATGTCGAGCTTTCGGCTCGAGAGGCCCCCAGGAGACCCTAAGAGGCCCCCTGGAGGCCCCCAACAAACCCCAAGAGAGCCCCAAGAGGCCCCAAGAGGGCCTCAAGAGGTCTCCAAGAAGCCCCTGGGACGCCCCCAAGAGGCCCCTAAACTGCCCCGCAGAAGCCTCCGAGAGCCCTCTCGAGAGACCCCAGGAAGCGTCCATGAGGACTCCGTCCGACCCAAAACCCAAGCACGGTGGCGGGATGGGGCGACGGCTATTTGATAGCTGGCATACGCGCCGCGTCACGACTTTCGATGCTGCGCACCTCTTCGAAAAACTCCCAGGGAGCGGCCGGTGATGCGCCGCCGGCGTCCTCGATAGTGACGGAGCATTCGATGAGGCCCAAGAAGCCCCCAAGAAGCCCAAAGGAGGCCCAAAAGAAGCCCCAAGAGGCCCCCTAACGGCTCCTAAAGGGAGCCGAAGAGGCTTCAAAACTGCCTGCAAGAGGCTCCCGAGACGCTGCGTCCAACTCCCAGGGAGCGGCCGGTGCTGCGCCGCCGGCGTTCTCGATAGTGCCAGAGCGAAGAGAACAGGGAGAGTGGAGAAGCCAAGGGCAGGACGACGGAGGCCGCGAGGGGAGGAATGGCGGGGGAAGGAAAAAGAAACAAGGAGGGAGCACGATGTGGTAGGAACAAGGGACAGTCGCCAGTGGCGAACGGCGAGCGGGGAAACGACAACCACTGCCGAGGGGAGAAGCAGAAAGAAGAAAGGGCTTAAGTTAGAAGGAGCGACGAGCAACGATGATGGCGAGCGGAGGGAGGGGAAGGGAGGGAGAGGGAAATGAAGGCAGGGGAAGGTGGAGGGAGGAGGGCGGAGCGATGGGGGGAGGAGGCGGGGGGCAGAGAGCAGCAAGCAGGCAGCAGGAAGCAGGAGGCACAACGGAGGAGGAAAGTGGCAGAAAGCAGGAAGCGTGAGGCAGGAGGCAGGAGGAGGGAGGAAGCGAAATGCAGGGAGGGGAAAGGATGAAGGATTGCATTGTGTTGAACACTTCGTTTGCCAGGCTGAGAGAAGCTAGCGAAATGAGCCCCATTGGACTTAACACTCTCCTGCCACTGTCGGGACAGCCAGCGCGAGGCAAGCCGAGGCGGTGACATACCCAGATTCGCTCCTCACGCCAACGTCTCAAAACCAGCAGCTAGCGTGGGCGAGACAGGGGGACGGAGAAAGCAGAGGGAGAAGGATGGAACTGGCGCGCACAACTTCCAAACCCGGGGCCCAGCCCCATCGTGAAACCTTCGAGGTGCGCGTGATGGTAGGCTGGCGGTTTCAACTGTTCATCTTCATATGCGTCCTCCTCCTCTTCTTCCTCCATATGTGTATTACTCCTTCCTCCTTGTCCTATTCCTCCTCCTCCTCCTCCTCCTCCTCCTCGTCCTCCTCTTCCTCCTCTTCCTGTTCTTACTCCTCCTCCCCCTCCTCCTCCTCCTCCTCCAAAATTATCCTCTTTCTCCTCCCCCTCCCCTTTCTCCTCCTCCTCCTCCTCCTCCTCCTCCTCCTCCTCCTCCTCCTCCTCCTCCTCCTCCTCCTCGTCCTCCTCCTCACCCTCCTCCTCCTCATCGTCCGCCTCCACCTCCGACTCCGCCTCCGCCTCCGCCTCCTTCTCATTCTCTACCTCCTCCTCCTCCACCTTCTCCTCCTTCCCTCCTCCTCCTCCTCCTCCTCCTCCGCCTCCTCCTCCGCGTCCTTATTGTCATCATCGTGACCACCACCACCACCACGATCACCATCATCAGCATCGTCACCATCAGCATCATCATCATCAACAACAACAGCAGCAGCAGTAGCAGCACCATCGGCATCATCATCATCATCATCATCATCATCATCATCATCATCATCATCATCATCATCATCATCATCATCATCATCATCATTATCACCGTCGTGGTCAACATCAGCATCGTCATCATCATCGTCATCATCTTCAACAGCACGTCATCATCACCACCATCCTTATTACCACCACCATCATCAGTATCATCATCATCATCATCATCATTGTCGTCATCCTCATCACCATCACCATCGTCATCATAATCAGCATAATCATCATAACGATCAGTCAGCATCATGACCCTCATCATCCACATCCCCGTCCTCATCAACATCGTCGTCATCCCGATTAGCATCATCATCCGCATCACCATCGTCATCATCAGCATCGACATCACCATCGACAACAGCATCATGACCAGCAGCATCATCTGTGTGTTATCATAATTGGCGCAATCAACATCATCAGCATCACCATCATCATCAGCATCAGTATCACCATCATGATCATCAGCATCATCATTGTCATCATCACCATCATCCTCATCGTCAGTACCATCAACATCGTCATCCACATCATTAGCAGCCACATCGTCCTCATCGTCATCATCTGCATCACCAGCATCATCAGCATCGTCAGCATCACTAGCATCATCACCATCGTCGTCACCACCGTTATCATCGCCATCGTCAGCATCATCAGCATCATCGTCATCACCAACACCATCATCATCGTCACCGTCGATATCGTCACCGTCAACATCATCATGATCAGCACCGTCTCATCATCATTCGCCGCATCATCATCGTCATCATCACCATCGTCGTCATCATCAGCAGCAGCATCATCACCATCATCCGCGCCGTCATCATGATCATCATCAGCGGCATCAGCATCGCCGTCATTATCGTCATCCGCATCATGATTCTCCTCATCCTCCTCCCATCAGCATCATTGACATCATCATCGCCATCATCATCGTAACCTTCATCATCATCAGCGTCATCAGCCTCATCCGCATCGTCATCAGAAACACTACCATCATCATCACCATCATCACCACCACCACCAGCATCACCATCATCGGCATCACCATCAACAGCATCACCATCATCATCAGCATCATCATCATCATCATCGGAAGCATAAGCGGCAGCAGAAGCGGCGGCAGCAGCAGCAGCATCAGCGTCATCAGTTTCCTGTCCCCCCTCGTCCTCTTCCCCCATCCACTTATCCTCCTCCTCTTCCTCCTCCTCCACCGTCCCCTCCTCCTCCTCCTCTCTTCCTCCTCCTCCGCCTCCCACCACCCCCCCCCTCCTCCTCATCCTCCTCCTCCGCCTCATGCAGTTCATCCCCTCCTCCTCGTCATCATCATCCTCATCATCATCAGGAGTACCATCGTCATCACCAGCAACATCATCATCATGATCGTCATGAACTGCATCATCATCATCAGCAGCATCATCAGCATCATCATAACCATCGTCATCATTATCACCCTCATCGTCCTCAGCAGCCGCATCAGCATCAGCCTCCTCACCATCATCACCATCATCATCATCGTCATCAGCATCATCAGCATCATCAGCATCAGCGGCATCATCGCCATCGTCATCAGCATCACCATCCTCATCGTCATCATCATCGTCATCAGCATTCACATCATCATCGCCATCATCATCAGCATCGTCAGCATCACCATGGGCACCAGCATCATTATCATCACATCAATACCAACAACAACAAGAAGGTCGACACTGCACCTAACCCCCCGTTCACCGGGCAGCTGGGTCAATGCTTGTCCTTGAGGACAACCAACCTCGACCTAACCCCCCGCGGTCAGCACCCCCCCCCCCCCCCCCAAGCAACCAGCCACCAACAACCAGCAAGCGGACCTCAAGCTTCGCATTGGAAATCCTCTGGGCTTCAGCCCATGCACTCCCACGAGCTGAAACCATGCGCGCGCCGCCGAGCCGACCTCCGGGACGCAGACTCCCAGTGGAATCCTATAAAACCCCTAAGGAAGCCTATAGAACTCCTGGGGAATCCTATGGGGTTTCCAAGG